GCTCAACTTAACAATTTGAAAACTGCGTCCCTAGCATTTTGAAGACCTTTTTTTTTTTTTTACTCATTACTTTATTTAGTATTTATTAATAAATCATATTACATTATCATACTAATATTTAAAAAAAAAAAAAAAGGTGGTATTTTCCACCGTCCTCCTGTCCCAATAAAAAAAAGTAGTTGGGGTGCGCAAAAAAATTTAAAAAAAAGTAGAGGAGCCCCCTGCGCACCCTCCCAATTCGAGCCACTGCTTATAATTATTATTTTATACTTTTAAAAACCACCGAAAAACGTATAAATATTTTTAAAATATTATTTATCTGTATTGGTGTTGACAAAGTAAATTAAACGCTGGATATTCAGGAACCAAATAATTTAATTGGTTGCTTAAATTATAAGTGTTATTGAGTAAATAGTAAGCAGACATAATTATTGTATTAAAACGATAAGCTATAGAGTTACACAGAACTTTATGTTGTAGAATATATTTTGTGGCGTACATTATTTAATGACCTTTGACAAAATTACTCAATCGATACTTAACAGTATTGCATTGTTACAGATTTAGCTGAGCATATTGAAATATCATTATTTTAATGTCTTGGTGGAAATGTTCATAATTCATGTGCCTTTTGATTAATGAAGTTGTTTTGTTTTTTCTACAACAAAATAGTAACTTTAAATTAGATTTCTAAACATTGCATTGATTACTTTAATGAAATTAATAAACTTACTTGATACGAAAAAGTGTTTGTCTATGTATATATTTAACTTAATTTAAGAATATTAAACATTTTTAGTATATTTAAACTATGAAGTAATATTGTTTTTAATCAATCTTATATAGATAAATAAAGGCAAGCAACATGAATAAATAGTCACTTAGACATATACACCCTAATAATGTGTTAAACTTATCATTACAACATCGCAAGTATAAAAGTAAAATTTCAATCTCGATTAATTAATTAAAAATAATTATATTTTTTTTGCATTTTTATGATCGTTAACTAATTTTCATCTGATACAAAGTCATACTATAGATAATATAAACGCACTAAATTAAAGTTTTGTATTGTTTTTCACTAGATACAAAATTGATGGTATTGAATTATTTCAGTTTTTGATAGATTAATGCAAAACATGTTACTAGTCAGTATAATATTTATGACCTCCGCGGTGTCACTCTGATTTAAAAAAATACATCTCATTGAATTTATCATTATAACTATGACATGTATTCCCTATATTTTGCTATTTTAACTTTTTTCGTGTTTCAACACTTAATTTTAACAGTACTTTGTTTGAATATTTTGCGGATTAAAGGTTGAATCAATAATCAGTTCAAGTAAGTGAAAAATTTTCTGAGAAAATTTCATTTGTTTAATCTTTTTAACAGGCACTTAATAGACAAAGATGAGGAATATTTGCTTCGTGTGCCCTCTGTGAGAATGACGCCGGTCGGAAAATTAATTATCGCTATCAATTCGTATACTGAACATTCGGCTATCTAAATAGACGATCTTCATACGTAACTGCACAGAACCCTTTTTTAGATGAAACATTAACTGAGAAGTGTTTTTACTTTTTCTTTGTTGACGGTGTTTAACCACGGAATTTGTCAACAAATGACGGTCGTATGCTGATATTTTATGAGATGCTCTCGTGGCACACACATAATGATGCCGGGGAGACATTATTATTATCAGATCGGATTTCCTCGAACGCGCAGGGGTCACGCATGAACACCTATGTCACATAGTGGTAGCCACAGGGATAAACGCATTTTGCTCCTGACCACATGCGTTATTTCAACAATGCGCGGACGAAAAAATAAAAGAAAGAATGAAGGTGTGATGATAAAGGACATTGCCATTTATGTTAAAAAGCCTGGTCGCAGGCGGGGAGCGAGAGAGATTTAATCCCGCGGCCAAAATACCCAGTAGCTTAATCGTTAAAAGGTGTTGTCTCGGAATACATACCCGTGACAAGGGTACGCGTATACCCGAGAATTCTACTGGTTCTACACCTCGAGCATTATAATGTACGAGCCGTGGGTCTATTATGTCAGCCACATGCTGTGCCACCGCCATTGTCACCGGGTTTCGTTCCCCCGTCAACACTAATCTTTAAATACTATTTAAAAATGTCCATTTCCAGGACGCAGTTTAGCGGTGCCGATGGTGGAAGGGGAGATATTAGTGTACGAGTATAATATACAGTGCATATTATATCTATTATTTTTTGCTCGCCTACCCCCCGTTTTTTTGTGCGCCGGTGTGTTGTGACAAAATAAATACACGCGGCGGCAGTTAATATAATGAGAGAAATCCTTAATAGCCTTATTTTCGTTAACGGGGTCGTGTGTACTTAATAATGGTAAATAACAACTCAATAGCGGTTTGTGTTGATTTGTTATTGCGCGCGAGACCTACACCCTGTATAAATGACTGGCCTAAAAAAAACCGCGTGGAAAACCCAGACAACACACGTACGTGTACGCGACATGACAGACTTTCAGACGTGCCCTGTGCATGTAAGTTTATAATAATATTATAAGCGCGTGCGAGTGTAAGGAGAAATGTGTGTTTTTATAACAAAAGAAAAAGAGATTCTCCGACGAAATTACTTTTCCCATGTGTTCCGATTCCCATGCAATCTGATCAATGGTCGTGTGGAAAGTTGAGAAATGGAAAAAGCAGCGGCGTTGACAGTGCGAGTGTTGTGTTATTGTACGCTTTATCAAAACCCGTCGAACGTTCCCTAATGGAGTCCGTACAGCTTACCGAAAATTCTAGGAAATGAAATGGTATTTTTTAAATTATTACTTCTATGATTTCTATTTATCATGACAATTGAGCTTTCGATGTCAGGTATACTCTAGAGAAAAATAACGGCCAATCAGACAATCATCGATTTTATTAATTGAAAAAAAAATCTTTGACAAACAAAAAAATAATGAATTCATATCTAATTTCAAAACGTTTTACTGAAGATTGCCTGAAAATACCTATTTTTAAATTCATTTAACATAATTTAGACTATAATCAAAAATCAACTCGTTGCAGCTTGAATGAATATCCAATCACGCGAAATTCAATGAAAATTATACTCCAAGTATATTGTTGCAAGTATTATTTTATTAGTGTGGTCTTGTAAAGATAAACGTTAAAAAACAAAATTTTCTCGAATTTGGGTTCATAATAATATATAAGCATGACTTTTGTTCTGTTTAAATAACACGATAATCATGACATTAATTCGATATTGTACGCTCGAATTGTTTTTACATTAATACTTCGTTTATATAGCTTATTGTTTGTGTCCTTTAACGTTTCTCCTTGCGCACATAATAAAAGATTCTAACTGCTTAAGTAATTTCTGACAACCTCCTCATCAAGTGCATTTTTATCCTTTTCTAATGCATCATACAATTTTCGATAATTTTAATGTGCACTCAGCTGCTTTTTGAATTTTTATCAACAATGAATCTAGTTTTGACCGGTTTTGTTTTGCTTCACAATGCTTGATCCACGTTTATTTTACTGACATATATCATTTTATTATTTCAGTTTTCCTTATCTCATTTCATCTGTTTTTAACTTGTAACATTTGCTCGTGAAACAGGTATGTTCGCATTTATCTTAATCGAAAACAAAGCATATTATTCCATTGCTTTTTACCTCACAACGCGTAACAGATTAGGAATAAGAACTGTAATTTTGATTAATTGGCATACAAATTGTTAACATAAAATACTATGGTTTTGGGTCAATAGTATTTTTAGCTGACACGTATTTTTGCCGTCTATATTTTTTAACCTAATTACGTATATAAAAAAGCTATTTCATTAAGAGTAAAAATAACCTTTGCGTAGGTACTCGACATTGATTTCCGAATTTGTTTTATTCATTGCCAGATCGACCGATTCATTATTGATACTCGGCCAAATAAAAACGTAGGTATTGACGAGTATAAATCATATAAAAAGTATACCTACTCAAGTAATAAAAAACGCATTCTAAAATGTAATATTTCGACTACTATCGACAGCAGCTGTTGTTTGTGTGTCAGTTTAATGTATCGAAAGTTTTCACGTCCAAAGACTATTGTACCGGCCCAATTTATTTCGTACTGTCGACTAAATAATTCTTTAATCACGTTTCTTTGATGTCGATCAACCACTGCTGTCTACGTGCTGCCGATCCAATATCCGGTATTATAACCTTTTTCACGGATCTTTATTATTTACACTTTTGTACTATTAATATCCGGATGCACTTGAACGGGGTGAATGGATTGACCAGGTCCTAGAATAATGATGCACTAAACACAGTATAACATGTCGATCGTGACCAAATCCGACAGCCCTGTGCATGTGTTTGTGTATGTTTTGAGTAAAATGATAACACAGACTGTGTGTCATTTGATGGAATCCGGGAGCGTATTTTGACAATAAACGCGCCCACGGGGTACGTTACCGTCCCTAAAGAACGGCCGGGCAAGAGGGTTACATTTTTTTTTCTCAGAATGTCAATCGGATCAAAATACAGTGCTGAATGAATGTGAATATAACCCGCGTTATCCTCGTCGAGGTAAACCGCAACAATGATACGGTGATTTACTACTAGACAACGTGTCTCCGGAATTTCGAAAAATTAACAATAAAATTCACGAGCTCAAAATAAAAGAAATGCACCTGTTTGAAAAAAAAAACCGGACGTGGGTTTACCTATGATTATATTTTTCACATGTCTACCTGAAAACTAGTTGTTAGTATTATGTTTCACATAATATATCTATTACCCCTTCTTGAACGTATAAATTATAATTCCATCAATATATTGTTTTAGAATAGTTTTCAATGATTGAAAAAAGTTCATTTTCAACTTTTTTTTAATAAAAATATTGCGTGATTTATTATCATATAACTTAAGGTCATAAACGTTTTTAATTTAGTGTTGATAATTTTATTTTTTTCTAGGACTGTATTTGTTAATTCCATATTGTTATTGATAAAGCTGAATCCTACTGTATTTTTTACACACTGGTTATCTGCAAGAACATTGTTTAATACACACGACGTCCACTTAAATACATCCAACGTACATGAATTTCTACATGAGAAAAATCGTACAATGGCGAAACGTAACATTTGATATTTTCAATAGGTCGTCAATACAGCGAAGGTCTAATTACACGAAGTAAATGTTTGTTCAATAGTCGACTTGTCGAGGGTTCTTAAATTTATACATCCAGTTTGTATGCAGCTCGAATATTAGGGTATTTTTTTAAACGTCCAGTACAACAATGGAGTCGGATGAGCATAAACGTTTTTATAAAGATAATTTGTATGAGCGTACATTTGCGGTGAAACCCGATACATAACAAAAAGTATTAACTTCCGATGCGGGACATAAACATTTTATTGGATAACAAAGCGAAAAAAGTTCACGGCAGAGTTAGGAATTTTCTAAGCGGGGGACGCGATTAATCTATTCAAATATTGTGAACATGTGGGTAGATAAATTGTAATTTATACTAATGGATTACACGATTTAAGAAGAAATTATACATGTTTTACAGTTCCAATAATCTGACAAGGTTATAACTTTTGTTATCCTCGAGTTTGGATAGCCGCCACATGAAAACTAAAAGGTTCTTTTTTACGGACAATATGTACACTATAGAACCTTATGGGTTTCATATCGAGTAGTATATCGTTTATATAATATACATATTAATTTATTATTTTGTTTCAGTTAAAGGTATTACATGATTATTGAAACCACAAGTTCTAGATAAGTATATGATAAGTAAATTTCGATAACGTTTTACATGTAATTCATATAAAAATATTCGTACAAATTGATGTGCGTGTATAAAAATACAAACAATAATAAGCTAATCATGAATTTTGTTTTGTTTTTACAACTCAGTAGTAGATTTTCGGTTATTTATAACACAATAAACAGTATAACGAAAAAATTAGCAGTATACAATGCCTTGTAATAAACGTTGATATTTTGACAGCTTGTGAATATCATGGCCGTCTTTGCGATATTGTGCTTCTATGGTATTTAACCCCTTCAAGTGGCAGCCAGATGCAGCATTATGTGTACACAACGAGTTGTTCAACCCCAATAAGCGTATATAATGTGCACCGGTGGTGTTCGGCCAGCAAAATAAACATTGTGGATATTTTTAATGATAATAAACAGTTTTATAATGTATGATAATAATATATAAACTATATTAAGTATTATTTTAACGTATGCAATAAGCAATAACTAGGTTAGGGTTTATTTGTTTAGGCATCATCATGTTATAATGAACCAAATAGTGACCAACACATTTACAATGGTCACATACAAAGAACCACGATTAATTATTCTTTGTAAGTGTAGACCGAGTACTTGAATCAAGTATCAGTATTAATATGGTCATGTATAATGTAGCTAATGAAAATAATATTCGTTTTGTTTAGTCATATAGCCGTTAAATCGTCTACACTTAACTGAAAATTCAAGTGAACGGTAAGTAGTAGTTACTTAATTTGTTGTAAAATTTTAATATCGTGTGATTAAGCTCATAAAATGGAGTGTTTTAGTGCAAAGAGACAGTAAAGAAACGATTAGAAAGTTACAATAGAAGTCGTAATAACCAGTATTTCCTAGTTTCCCTTGACGTTTAAACTGTATTCCTAGAAAAATTATTTTTTTTAACACAAGAAATTACAACAACACATGCTATCTTTAAATGTTATTATGTTAAAATCGATTTAAATAAATATTACGTTATGTCTTGTAATTTTAAGATTTTTTTCAAAATTAAAACCAAACTCTAGAGGTACTTCAGTGTAATTTTTAAACTGAAAAATTCAAAATTATTAGTATTATATACTCCTAGAGTATAATAAGGTTTAGGAATTTTTTTTAACTTCATCACGGTTTTGTTTAAATTAAATAATCAGAATTAATTACATGACTAATTATATTTCTTTACTTAATTTTATTACTTTTGAATTCATATCTGCCGTTTGTCAACCAATTAATTTAGTATTTCGTTGAAGTATGAACAACAACTAATGACAAGTAACAATTATATTGACTTGTCAGTTTTTTCACACGGATTTCAATTATGAAAATGTTTGTAACACAAAAATGAACAATAGCATTTACGATATTCAAACAGAATTATTAGATGTCCACACTAGTGATATGTAAAGTCAGGTATACCAAAACCGTATTACAGAAGCACGAATACAATTATAATGGCATTTACAAAGTCATTTCCTGTTCCTTTTAGTTTTTCTCATGGTGTCATTGCGGGTGAAGGGCTTATTTTAATAATAGAATAACGACCGTAACTATAATAATACCAAAAAATAATGCGTGTATAGGATCAGATAAATTAAATTTATTATTACACAAAAGGGCAAATTTGATTGTAATATCCAAAGTACAAAGGAGTATAGGAGACGGTGTTTTATGTGTGATAACAATGTAATGAAGTCACGAAAGCGTAAATATAATGAATCGTTAGATGATGAGTCGCCGAATCGCTGCTGTAATGCTCACACAGGTCATGTTGTACTATCATTTTTGTTGTTGTTCATAGCCAAAGTCGGATCATATGAATAACATATAGCCCACAATAGGCCGGCTATGGTAGTTGATAGTTCTGTTGCTTTATCTCTGGTCACGATCTGCGATAGCCTCTAATTATTCAGTAGCTCTTAAGTCATTAACAAGATCGTTAACGGATTCAAGAGGGGTTTTTCTTTTATTTTACAGCAGTTGAACCAATTATCTCGTGTGTTTGTCAAAACGTTTAATCAATATGATTTATCTATTTATGTTTTGAATGCTATTTATTATTTTTTTGCTAAAATTCTTGCCAAATGCTCATGCTGCAAGTGCATTGGTGTAAGTTAGTAATGTGCATTAACGCGACCATGATGTAATCGTACTACTGTGTTTACGCAAGGATTATACAAGGGATGGGACCACCGGATAATAGAGAAGGAATGTTTATGTAGGGTAAAGCTCTTAGCACCTCTGCAGCCATCTGGTGTCGAAAATGCGTCCCTGAGAGGATTACAAACTGCTGTGTTATCTTTTTGAAGGGATATAGACTTAAACACTACAATTCAAGACTTAAGTGAATATAGATATAAACGCTTTTGCTGTTTTTTAGTTGCCATATTTATATTCAATACTACAAATATATCTACTTCCTACGAAGGGCATTTACTTTTTAATATCAAAGAATACATTGAACACACTTTTGGGTGTCATGTTGGATTTGGAATGTTAAATTAAAAATAAAATATTAATTCACTAAAACCATGAAATGATTGTAATAATATATTTATTTGTTTTAACGACGAATTCGAAAAGTACGATTTCGCTTTTGAAAAGCACTGGGCCATACAAAAATCAGATAATTGTAGTTTACAGGTAATGTTATTTAGTTAATAAAACCGTTCTGGTAATGCTTGTGTCATAACTTTTCATTACCTTGCATAATGGTTCACTCGACAGCGTGGAAAATCGTTTCGAGGGAGAAAGATTTTTGTAATCTGGTTGTTATGTAAAGAAAATATGCCCTCTTCCATTTGTGTGTAATATCATAAAGGAAAATTGTCGGTGGTAAGGCTGTTGTAAATTATCGCGTTTATACACATGCACGAGTACCGCTATATTTGCCAAGAAATCAGTTTACCGGATCATAAGTCGGGGAGGGCTGAGACGTGGTTCGGGTAAAGTTCGTCTGCTTGCATGAAAATCAAAAGCCGACCTCCAACGTTGCTGTTTAGCACCCTTATACATATACTCGTCAGCCTTTTACTAAATTGTTTTCCTTTTGCTACCACGTGACGCGCGTACGTGTGAGAGAACAGAGGGGTGTAGTAAAACTGTTTTTCCACGCGCCCCTTTTACACACTTATCTTTGTGTCTTGAATTTTGAAATTAAATAACGACGGCGACGCGGGAGTTCTCCTCAGTAAACCAAACTGTGTTAAAGTGCGTGCAGAAATATTGGCTGCGCTTTCCTACAGCGCGATTTGTAACACCCAACGTCGTCGGCGGCGTTCATCAAAGTGACACAGCTTTAGTCTCGCGGGGCGTGTGTATTTGTACACTGGGGTTTATTGATTATTTATTACAATATTAATATTACGCCTAAGCTATTTAAGTATTTTTCTGCGGACACTCTGTAAGACGTTTTTCGTATTAATAATTAACACAAACAACCGTTATGAATACATTAATGGGTTTTTTCGGTTTGAATGTCGACGTACATCGAGTTGTTGGTTAAAGGGAAAAACGATGAAATTAAAATAGATACAACAACTCGGTGTCTCTCGGAGTGCCGTATTTATACCCCGCGTATTGATTACGTTAATTTATCAAGTAAAAACCGTGTACAACATTATTGTCTCGAGATAAATCGGACTCTGATTAAACGGCTTGTCCGCTGTATTATTTTATTCCCTCGGAAATCATAACTGATTTTTACCCGAACAGCCGCGAGACAAAATTAACAGAGATGACGGCAAAAGGAAAAATTACTCAGGTCGTCGGCGTTCATTAGGCGGTAATATAATAAATAATGGGCGGTGGCAATGACGGCAGCAGCTACAAGACATTAGTTAACGGGCGCGCGCACGAGCAAACGCACACCGGCCAGCAGCAGCTCATTACGGTCACGGGAAATTGTCTATTAAATCTATAACAAGTCGCGGTGTAATCAGAGCTTGGCGGTGGCTGAATATGATTGAGCTATCAGTCACCGGGCCTGTTACGGACAAGGAGGACCGGAGGGTGTGAGATTGCCGTCGGCCGATGCGTCTCCATCGTCGTTGCCTACCCGCCTAGGTACATTATAAACACAATATTGTCCAAGTAAAGTCATTCGGTTTTACATAATACTTTAGCGCGTTTCGATGGTCCGGTGCTTACCCGACAACGATTTATGGCTCGAGCTCGACTGGACGTAAATCATAAACGACAAATTACACCAACGTTCTGTTCTACAAACGACCAAACCCACAACTAATTTGTGTTTTTATTTTTTTGGTACGATGAAACCCAGTGGCCTATCGATACTTGGAATATAAGTACGCAATTCACACGACCTCAAGAACTGTTATCTTTTAATTTACTAGTACCCACAGTAATAGGTACGCAAGTTAGTAATGGTCATAGCTTTCCGACTCTCTGATAGTTGATAATGACGAAGAATGAAGGCATTTAAATATATTCTTGGGCGTAAACAATGTGGTCGTCGTTAGACTATGGGACAGAGATTTTTCATTGTTAACACTTAATAGACAACAATAATTGGGAAATAAACTTCGCGTGCGTACCTCGTAATGTACGAATCAATTACCACATGAAAAAAATAATTACGTTTTCATATTTTGCGTTGATTCGCTTGAACTAAACTGTATTAAAGGCACGTCAAAGTTAAATACTATGATGAAATAAAACAGACAAGGATTCTTTTAATTGCTCACAAATTGTGACAGTATAGAGTTTTTTTTTTTTTGTCCGCTCATTTAAGGTCATTTCACTTAGTACTACTTCAAAATTTGTCTATGGCCATTTAAAGCCCATTGTAGATGGCTTAATATTTGACAGACGCACTACAATATACAGACAAAATTCGAGTAATTAACTTGACGTGATTTTAACGAGTACTCAATGAAATTAATAATATTTGACGCTACGAAGAAAATGTTTAACCCATAGAATCTAATTTGATATCCAATTATTGCTCAGTGGACAGTCTACGTTATTATTTACTGAAAACGTTATTGGGTCATGTTTTATTAAGAAAATATTACCCGATAATTTATTTTTGAGACGCTGAATTTATTATGATTTATGCGAATTAAGTTAAACTCTAGACGTTTTTAAGTTGAAATATTAAATTCAAGTCCCGTAGTAAGTAGCGACGTTTATACATTAAAAATTCATTTAGTTTATAATGAGTTGCTTAATTATACGAAATAAGGGAAATTTTGCGATTAAAATTGTTCTAAATTAGATAACGTCTACGACCTTTGTATATTTTTGAGATCAAATAAGCCGCGTCTCTAAATATTTTACAAACTAATGAAAAGTTTAAAGAATAATTTGTTTGCGCGTAGTTTACAAACACTGTTCAGTTGAAACCGGCGGTAGGTAGGCCGTCTTTTAACATTTAAGTTCGTTTATTTTGTTATTGTTGCGAGTTGCAGAAGGGCCTAAAGCGCGTTTAGCGAATTTAATATTGAAATTTATCGTCGCCGTTCTCATCACGAACCATCTCCTTCATCCAGTTCATCAAACGACATGATGGCCCTCTCACCCGCGGCGCCGCCAAAACGCATAATCCGGTTACCCCAAAACGGGCAAACACGCCGCTCATTTGCCATGCTAAACAGCCTGCTGCCGTCGTCCGCACGATTACCCTCCTCCATCGCTTAACCACCTAATATAGTGTTTACTCTGGTAATCAAGGCATTGCGGTTCCGCCTAGCACACATTGGGCAGTCGTGTTTTTTTTTTTTTTACAGCGTTGTATACATTTTAGCTACAGCCCGTGACTTTTTACCCGTCATTCTCTTCGCCCGCAGCTTAAAGTCCTTTTGATTGTGTGCATTGAATAATTTATCCGTTTATTTACCTTGAACGGGCGCACAATGAGAGCGTTTTATACGTGTATGCATGTAAACGCGACGCAGAATTATTGTCATACCGTATTCTCCCTTTTCCTCGTCGATTTATGGTAAAAAAAGGAAAGCGTGGGGGAGTGGTGACACGTTTTCTACTACCTCCGATGAATGCAATCGGCCGGTCGCTTTCGCCGTAACTGTCGGTTTGAAAGCCGGAGAAAACGGTAACCGGTTATTTGTAGTCACGGTATGGAAAATGAGATGGTAAAAAGTTTTCTAACGATCCGACTATATAATCACAACTACTGTGCGTGCTCGACTCGGTGGTAAATGAACCCTCTGCACCGAAAATCTGTAAAGAAACTGCCTTCTAACGGGACACCTATTGAAATTACCAAACACAGACGAACTTTGTGAAGTTTCACCCGAAACCAGCAATTTGTGTTCGTTATCGACGCCGTTGTCAACCCTTCTCTTTTTTTCTCATTTGCTTTTTTCCATCGCGTCTTTCGGAGGGTTCTTTTTTAAATATCAATAGACAAAGCCACCGTGTAATTTTCCACCCCGCGATTATGATTAAATTATCATCGCTTCGACGACATAATTATACATGAACTGCGACAGATAGGGTTTCCCGTAACTCGCCTTCACTGTTCTTTAACTATAGGTTATATATATTTTACACTTTTATAAAGACGTCCAAAAATTTGATTGCCATTTCGATGCGAAGCTGAGAAGGTATTAATTTTCCATGATGTGTTTATTTATTGATTTTCTTTTGTACGTATCTGTCACTACTTTTATTCAGTTCTTACTAGACCGAATATTTTCAACGCCAAAAGAAAATAAATCGGATCTAGTTGAAGACATTATCCTTAAAATTGAACATATTTCCTTATTCTCCATAACTGGTGGTGATTCTGCCGAAAATTTCTATTTTAAAAATCGGTAAATTTCAACATTTTTTGTTTGAACCTGTCATAACATTTTTAATAAATAATGGTTTATTAAAGCATTTCTAATTTTTCTAATGCTATAACTTTTTGAAAAATGTTTAAATCAATACATTTTTTTTATATGTAGACTAAATACAAATTCCTTTTAATCTAACGCCTTCCCGTTGTGTACAAATTTAAACTTTTTCAACTTGAAAACGTTCTGGGAATACTGACATAATTAAATATATCTTAATTTTAAGTTTATATAATATACTTATTTTGAAGAAAAACAATTTATCCTCTGAATTTGGCTTCACTACTGATAATTAATATTAAAGAGTTAGTTAATGATACGTAATTTTTATTAATATTATATAAATAATCTTTTTTTTATCTACAGTTTGATTTATTAAAAAAATTCTTCCTACAATTTTTTGTAGATATTTATTTTTTCAGAAAAATGTTACAATATTTACAAACTTATACTTGATTCATTTTTATGAGCATAGTAACTATGTTCATAAATTATATAAAACTTGATATTAACTGTTAATATCAAGTTTGTTGAAAAAAAAATCATATTATAGTTACATTTTTGGGGTAACATTTCAGTTATTTTTAGGAATAACAACAACAACAAAAAAAAAAAAAGATAATAACAAATGGAAAACAAGCTAAGCCATCAGTATAGCTCCAAGTTTTGACCAATGACTATCGCACCAAATGTAATTTTTCTAGGAATCATTTATAAATACAAAAGATTTATCTGAAAGTTATTAAATTTATCAAAAATTCAAACATCTTTTCACCATTAATTAACATATTTTTGTGGATAATACTTATTTAAAAAAAATCATTCAATTATTTCTATATTAGTGTGTTCAAACTAATATGATGGTCGCAGTAGCGTTACCAACTGGTTATACACTATCGTCATCGTATAAACTAGGAATAGGACTGCTATACACCTTTGCTGTCAACTATTGTTATAAATTTATTTTAATAATAATTTGTTTCTTTCTTTTCATATTTATAGTTGTATTTAAATCTATCTGTATTGTTTTTTAGGTTAGTTAAGGCCTCCAGAAAAGTATTCTGCCTAAGTATGCAAATTATACAATCACTTTATAACTTCTCTATAATTATTTAGTAAAGATCACAATACTGAACTATTTAATAACAATTTCATATGCAATTTAATTATTATAATAAGTATTTACTTCTGTAATATACTTATAAATTATAAAATATGTAAATATAATTAAGAAATTAAGAATTAATTTTACTTTTGGAGCAATTCAACAATTTGTTCTAAAAGTTAAACGCTATCTACAGATTTGCATTGAAGCGTTTTTTGATTATAGTGATTTTAATCACTGTCAGCAATCATCTGTGCCTCAAATATGCAGCATCTTCACTGTGCAGGAATTATTGTTATGTAAAAATCATTTATTGGTAGAAGAGTGTCCTATAACTGCAGTATATTATATACCTAGATTTTTAGAAACCGATCCATGTTAAACAGTGCACGAATTGGGGGGGGTGCGCAGGGGTACGGAGCTCCTCTACTTTTTTTAAAATTTTTTTGCGCACCCCAACTACTTTTTTTTTATTGGGACGGGAGGACGGTGGAAAATATAACCGCATTTTTTTTAAAGTATGGATTTAAATTGTGATCAATTTTACAATTTAAAATATTTTGTAATAAAATAATTTCTTATAATGTATATGATATATTTCATTATAGTAGATATTACAATAGTTCTTATAGTTCAGTGTTCTGTAATATCATGTATATGGCAATATATCACAGAACAACATAACATAACAAATAATATATATATGTCGCTGAGCCCCATGTTATAAGTTTCAGTTATCACTCATAGAGTTTTCACTTATCATTTATCGTTGTTTATTTATTGTTTTCCGACTAAATTAAGTAATGAGTAAAAAAAAAAAAAGTCTTCAAATCGCTGGGAACACAGTTTTCAAATTGTTAGGTTGAGCTCCCCTACTTATTTTTTGCCAATTCGAGCACTGATGTTAAAGACATGTACTTGATATTTAATGTTAAAAATCCATGGTATATCTAAATATTTTACCAACGTACTGACTTTATTATTAGTTAACTAAAAATAATACATTTTTTCATCTTAAAGAATTTTTTCTTACTTAAAGATAATAATTTTATTAAAGTTTTGCCGTTTTATCATAATTGAACACATTGCTAATAATTTAAATTTAAATATGTTGAAATACAAATGTCTCGTTATGGTATGCATATGATAATTATACTGTATATTTAGAGTGAATAAAATATTATGATTATTATTATTTTATTTTTTTAAATTTTGTTATTGCTTATTTTACCACATGCTAAATTATAGCTCTATTATCTAAAATTAATTTAAGATTGCTTACATAGTAAAGAGTATAAAACATTCAATACAATACGTATACTTCATTTTCTGTGTATACAAGTAGTTAATAATAATAAGATAATTACCTTAACGGTTAATAATGTACATTTTACTAGTGCAATTCATTTTTATTCATTTATCTTTCGCTACAACTATATCGAGTCCAAATAACATAAATTTTGATCAGTTCAATGAAATTCTGAGTCAAAGTGGTTGGAAATCGGTAAAAGAATTCAGAGTCACACACTGTGATGATACAACTAAAGACAAACAAACTTTTACAGTAAAAGATTTAATTAGGCTAGACGAACATAAAAAAATTATTGTCACTGAAATTAATGGACAACAAAAATTAGAGCAATGTTCGATTTTGCTGAGTTCAATTTATTATGTAATTTTGGAACCATTACAAGTTGTATACAATGAAATGTTAGATGTTTTTTCGCGAAGCGATGATATTGATAAAAATTGGATCTTACTGAAATTCTACTTAATTGTTCATAATTTAGAGCCTTTAATAACATGTATGATTGAAGCATTGGAATTCTTAAATAAGTCTAATGTTGTTCTCGAGGCACTTAAAAAATTGAAAAAATGGCATGAAGATATTTACAAATTCACTACGAAGGAAGGCTTTAATTATTTTGATTTAAAAGCTTCAGAGTATTATTATGAAAAAGCATTATTAATAAATATCTTTGATAATAATTTTTCTGAGTTCAAGACGCATTTTAAAATTGAAGGTAATCAGTCTGAAATAATAGAAGTGTTTATAACATCTATGACAAATGATACTCGACACATAATGGTTGAGAAAGTAATCCGTGGAAAAGTTTATCAGGATGGCGTTAAAAAATTCTGCTTCGATTTTGGCTTCAAAAATAACTCAGTAAATGAAAATTTTCAGGATATTACAGATAAATAAATATCTTTGATTTAACAATATTTTTATTGTAATTTGTTAAGATATTTTTAAGTTATAATTGTATTTTTTTCGAAAGAATTATTTTTGAGTTAAATATAATTATTTAATTTCACAAACTATTTTTTTTGCTTCTAATATCGGTAATACTGATACAATATGATTTATGACACCATACTTTTTACATGTTAAACAAATTTCTCAGAGTTATAACTTTATATTCGCCAACTATTTGACTTTCTAGAGAAATAATAATTGCACATTTACTTACATATGTTACCTTGAAATTCTATTCTAATATGTAAAATATCTATTTATGTTTTTTTGTATAATAAAAAAAAACTGTTGAATTTCAACTTTAAATATATTAATAAACTACTATATGTTTACTATTCAAGCTAAGCTACTACGCTAGGTTAACCTATTGATTCGGTTGAACGGTTGCAGCCGTTATCATGTCTATACCACAACGCATCATTGTTATCAATATAATATAGTCACATAGCACAGTTACTTCAACAGTTGGCTACAATACGTAAAGATATTCATATGAATATAATTTTATATTTATTAAAAAAATGCGTCATTTAAATTGTTATTAAAGAAACATTTTAACAAAATTGTTTTTCTATATAATCAACAGTATTTAATTTATTATTATTGATCAATTTTTACCAAACATATTTTGAGTCGTTGATTTACACGTTTTATAAAAACTGACTTCATAATCAAACAACAGAAGAACATATTTTCAGATTTAAAGTGATATCATGCATAATATTATATTATTTTAAATAAAATATAATTAATGTGTATATCGATTTAAATTAAACACCAAATCTATATTAAATATGTTCTAAGTAAACTTATTTTTTAAATAATTTAAGATTATTTACATAAAAAATAGTATAAAATATTCAATACAATACGTATACTTTACTTTCTGTGTATACAAGTAGTTAATAATAATAAGATAATTACCTTAACGGTTAATAATGTACATTTTACTAGTGCAATTCATTTTTATTCATTTATCTTTCGCTACAACTATATCGAGTTCAAATAACATAAATTTTGATCAGCTCAATGAAATTCTGAGTCAAAGTGGTTGGAAATCGGTAAAAGAATTCAGAGTCATACACTGTGATGATACAACTAAAGAAAATCAAACTTTTATGGTAGAAGATTTAATTAGGCTAGACGATCATGAAAAAATTGTCACTGAAATTAATGGACAACAAAAATTAGAGCAATGTTCGATTTTGCTGAGTTCAATTTACTTAATTATTTTGAAATCAATATATTATAAATACAATATAATGTTAGATGTTTATAAGAATTCGGATATCCATGATACTGATAAAAATGAGGCCTTTCAGCATTTCTACATACTTGTTCATTATTTAAATCCCTTGATAAATTGTATGATTGAAGCATTGGAATTCTTCAATAAGCCTAATGCTGTTCTCAAGACACTTAAAAAATTGAAGAAATGGCATGAAGATATTTACAAATACTCTATAGAGGTAAATTATACTAATTTTAATACAAAAGAAACTACGGAGTTCTATGAAAAATTATTATCACTACGAATCTTTAATAATTTGTCTAAATTCAAGATTCATTATAATTTTGAAGGTAATGAACCTAAAATAATAAAAATGTTTAAAAGATCTATTTCATATAAATTTCCACACAATATTCTTAATAAAGTAAGCAATGGAGAAGTTGATCAGGATGGCGTTCAAAAATTTTGCCACGATTTTGGCTTCAAAAATAATTCAAATTTATCAAATCCAAATAACATAAAATTTAACCAACTCAATGAAATTCTCAGTCAAAGTGGTTGGAAATCGGTAGAAGAATTCAGTGTCACCCACTGTGATGATACAACTAAAGACAATCAAACTTTTACAATAAAAGATTTAATTAGGGTAGACGAACATGAAAATATTATTGTCACTGAAATTAATGGCCAAGAAAAATTAGAGCAATGTTCGATTTTGCTGAGTTCAATTTACTGTATCATTTTGGAACCATTAAAGTATGTACGCTCTAGATTGTCAATTGATATATGGTCAATGACAACCCATGATATTCATATAAATACGAACTTCCGGCATTTCTACATACTTGTTCATTATTTAAACCCCTTGATAAATTGTATGATTGAAGCATTGGAATTCTTAAATAAGCCTAATGATGTACTCGTAGCACTTAAAAAATTGAAAATATGGCATAATAAGATTTACGAATACACTATAAAGGAAAAATGTGATTATTTTATTATAGAAGAAACTGAACGTTTCTATAGAAAATTACCATCACTACAATTCTTTTATAATTTTTCTGAATTCAATATTCATTATAAATTTGAAGGTAAAGAACCTGAAGTGTTAAAAATGTTTACAGAATCTATTTTAAATGATTTCCCACACAATATTCTTGAGAAAGTAAGCAATGGAGAAGTTGATCAGGATGGCGTTAAAAAATTCTGCCACGATTTTGGCTTCAAAAATAAATCAGTAAGTCAAAAAATGGCAAGAAAATACTGATAATTAAATATCTTTGTTTTAATAATATTTTTACTGACAAATGTTAAGATATTTTGAAGTTACAATTGTATTATTGTCGAAACATTTATTTTTGAGCATTAAATATAATTATTCAATTTAACAAACCATTTTTTTCTGCTTATAAAATCAGTATTTCTAAGTGGAACAATATGATTAATGATATCATACTTTTTAAACGTTAAACAAATTTCAAAGAAGATCTAATTATACATAAGCTAGTTATTTGATTTTCCTAAGAACTAATAATTGCATATTTACCAATG